AAATAGACCACATCCACTGATTCACCCTTATCTAGTTTACTGGAAATATCCTCAAAAAACTCTATGAGATTTGTCAAACGTGACTTCCCTTTTGTAAAGCCATGTTGACTTGGCCTAATTATATTGTGCCCTAAATACCACACTACCACATCCTTAATCAATGATTCAATGATTCTTAAAAAAAAAATTTCCATCACTGATGTGAGACTAACTGGCCTATAGTTCCCCATCTTTTCCTTTCCACCTTTTTTAAATAGTGGTGTGACATTTGCGATCTTCCAATCCGTGGGGACTGTTCCAGAATCCAAGGAATTTTGGAGATCAGACATAAGGCCTCCACTATCTCATAAGCTCCTCTTTTAAAACCCTGGGAAGCAAGCCATCCGGACCAGAGGATTTGTCACTTTTTAATGCTAACAGTTTCCCAGCACCAATTCTCTACTAATGAAAATTTCCCCAAGTTGCTGCCTGTCCTTATCCCCTTGGTGCATGTCTATAGTTGGCAGACTTGTTGTGTCTTCCAGGGTGAAGACAGATGCAGAGTACCCATTTAGGGACTCTGCCATGTCCTTATTCCCCATTACAACTTCTCCCGTCTCTGACTGAAATGGACTTACATTTACCCTCATCAGCCTATTCCTCTTAATATATTTGTAAAAACTTTTACAATCAGACTTAATGTTCCCAGCGAGCTTACCCTCATACTCCTTTTGCACTACATCCTTAAATATTTGTCTCTGTTGGTCTACATTTTTACCTCTTAATCTTATTCTCCAGTCTATTTTACCTAAATCTTTCCTCATACCTACAAAATTAGCCCTATTTAAATTCAGAATACTGACTTAACTATATCCCTCTCTAACTTAATGCAGAATTCAATCATATTGTGATCACTCTGCCCCTGAGGATTCTTAATACCTACACTGCCGACTAGTCCTGTTTCGTTACACAAAACAAGGTCTAGGATGGCCTGTCCCCTGGTTGGTTCCTCGGCAGCTGCTCTAGAAAGTTATCTCTTATACACTCAATGAACTCTTCTTCTGACCTACTTTTGCCGATTTGGTTTTCCCAATCTATGTGGAGATTGAAATCACCCACTAGTATCGCTTTACCTTTCCTACATGTGCTCCACTAATTTCTTGATTAATACCCTGTGCTATATTGTGATTGCTGTTTGGGGGTCTATAAACCACTCCCATTAATATTTTCTGCCCTTTATTATTTTTTATTTCCACCCATATTGTCTCTACCTCCTGGTCATTGGATTTCAGATCCTTCCTCTCCACTGCTTTTATTTCATCCCTAATTATCAGAGCTCCCCCCCACCTCGTTTCCCACAGTGCCTATCTTTCCTGTAAACTGAGAACCCTGGAATATTTAACTCCCACCCTCGATCTCGTTGTAACCATGTTTCAGTGATGGCCACTCGATCGTAGCCATACGTGTCTATCTGTGCTTTTCATTTGTCAGTTTTATTCTGAATGTTTCGCACATTCAGATATAACATTTTTAATTTCCTACCATTTCCTCTTCTCTCTGATTCCTTATCTGTTTGCCAAAGCTTCTTACCCCTCATTAACATATTCCTATTATCTGGCATTCTATTCTGCACTATCATCTTTACTTTTTCTAATGCTAACTTATGGTTTCTCTTACCTATATATTCTCCCCCCTTTACTAGTTTAAATTCCTATTTATTTCCTTGTGAATTCACTTAGCTCAGACATTTGTCCCAGCCAGATTTAAATGTAGCCCTTTTCTCTTTTCCCCCAATACTTGTGCCAATGGCACATAAAAAGAAACCCCTGAGTTCCGCACCATTCTTTTAGTCATGCGTTCAAGTCCTTAATTTGTTTGTTCCTATACCAATTGTCGTATGGTACAGGCAGTAGCCCCGATATTATCACCTTCGATGACCTTGACTTCAATTTGGACCCCAGCTCTTCGAATTCCCTTCTCAAGTCATGTTGGCCAACTCTACCGATGTCATAGGTACCAATGTGAAGTACCACCAACGGATCCTTGCCCTTGTATTTTAAATTGTCCTCTAGCCCTGCCGAGACATCCTTCACCCCGGCCCCAGGGAGGCAACAAAGTCTTCGGGTCTTCTGGTTGGTGTTGCAGATGATTGTGTCTGTCAGTCTAATAGTCTCATCCCCAAATGATGACAATCATCCGTTTGTTTGTCCCAGTGTTAGAGGTAGTTTTCCCTTCTACCTCACCGGCTTCCTTGTCGATACAAGTTCCAAGGATCTCATACCTGTTGTTCAAGGTTAATGCCGGATTTACTATCACTCTTTCCGTTGTCCCCCTGACCTCCTGACTGTCCATTGACCTATCCTGACCATAACCGATGTTGAGTGTATATTCCCTCAGGGGAGTGACTGGCTCCAGGATGTAGCTATCCAGGAAGCACTCACTGCCTCTGATACTCCGCAGTGTCTGCACCTCGGACTCCAGCTCCGCCACTCTGACACTCTGAGCTGGAGCTGCCTCAGTTGCAGACATCTTCTGCAGTTGTGGTCTCCCGGGGTCAGACTGTCCTTCATCAGCTCCCACATGTCACACTCCTCACATTGTCACCTCCTCCAACTTGAGTAAGTTAATTAGGTAAAGTTAATTAAGTTTTAATTTAATCAAATTGATCCAATTAAGTTGATTAAGTTAAACCAATCAAGGTAAGTTAATCAAGTTAAGTCTGTGGTGTGTGATGTGTTGATAGTTGTTAGTTTACTGTTAGTCTGTAGTTAGTGTTGATACTGATGTCGCTCTGACGTCGCTTTTAATTTTCTCGTTGATTTTTTTATCCACTGACACTGCCCCGCGCCCCTCACCCTCGTGCCGCTGACTGGCTGACTCGATATAAGATCCATTATTGAGACATAGGTGAGAGAGGATATAAAAAAGGAAAGGGCAGACACAGAAAACACTTTGGGTAGAATTAAAAGATGGGAACAAAGGTAAGCTATTACTGGGGGTCTGCTACAGACCACCAAGCCAGGGTGAAAGCCTTGACCTGGAACTGTAGGATGAGATAAAGAAGATTATTAAGGGACCAATCGTAGTCGCTGGAGACTTTAACTTACCAGAAACTGACTGGGATAATGATGTGTCTACTGGTAAAATAGGGAAAGGGTTTCTAGTTCTTCTAATTTCCCCATTTGATTTATTGCTGATAATTTTATATTTATGGCCCCTGGTTTTGGTCTCCCCCACAAGTGAAAACATCTTCTCTATGTCTATCCTATCAAAAACTTTCATAATTTTAAAGACCTCTTATCAAGTCACTCCTCGCCCTTCTCTTTTCAAGAGAAAAGAGTCGAAGCACATAAAGGTGGGAGAAGCATTAAGCAATAGAGATCACAATGCAATCGAATTTGACGTCACAAGGATTGGTGAGGTTATTAAAAACATTTTTTTTTCAAGAGGTCTGACTCTGCGCTTGAGAAATCTTGTCAGAGTGGGCCTGGCTTGCTTAAATATGATGAAGGGAGGTGATTGTGAAGGCAATGGAACAATGTGTACCCATGTGAAGCAAAGGTACCAAGCTTAAAGGCACTGCTGCCTGGTTGGATGGGGCTACGGAGCAACTCATAAAGAAGGGAAAAAAGGCATTTAAGGCCATGAATGAAAATAGCACAGAATTAAGTCAGATTCAATACCAGAAGACATGCCAGGACTGTAAAAGAGGCATCAGAATGGCAAAGAAAACCTTTTTTGAACATGACAAGAGGGGTAATAACAAAGTTTTCAGTTACATTAAGAGGAAAAGGAAATGATGGAATAGGGCCACTGAAGGTAGAGGATATGACAAATAATTCTGCACAGTCTGCAATAGTGCTAAATAAGGTTCTCGCATCAGTTTTTACCAAAGAGTAGACGGGTAACCTATCTGATCTGGAAAGAGAACTCAAAGGATGTCACTGAGGAAAGTTGCAACACTTTTCATATCACTACCAGCATGGCTGCCAAACAGCTGTGCAAACTTGTGGTAAATAGATTTCATGTAAATAACTTGCATATGAGGATCCTTAAGGAACTCTTAAGGAGTAAATCGCAGAAACGCTGGCACAAATCTTTCAGATATCACTGAATACTGGTGAGGTGCTGGGGGACTGGTGAAAGGCAGATGTTAGTCCTATTTTTATGAAAGGTAACAAAAGTGACCCAGGAAACTACAGACCAGGAACTTTGATGTCCATTGAGGGTAAAATTATGGAGACTTGGGATCTTGAAAATCCAGAACCCTGCATCTTTTGTCCTCTCCCGCACCAAACTCTGTGACCCCATCTCCCTCATTCTCGCCCTATCTTTCAGAGGATCCAGTTCAAGTTCCTGGTCCTCACTTACAAAGCCCTCCATGGCCTCGCCCCACCCTACCTCTGTGACCTCCTAACCCCTTACCAACCCGCCCGCTCCCTCCGCTCAGCCGGTTCCGGCCTGCTGCACGTCCCCCGACCCACCATTGGTGGGAGAGGCTTCAGCCACTCTGCCCCCAACCTCTGGAATTCCATCCCCCAATCACTCCGCCTCACCCCCACCTTAGTCTCCTTCAAGCCCCACCTCAAGACCCTCCTCTTCGACCAGAGCATCGGCCATCCCTCTTCCCCCACCCGACCCCAGCTCAGATCTGAAATGCTATACTCTGTGCAGCTCCTTGGGACGTGAAAGGCACTATACAAATGAAATCTTGTTTTTTTTTTAAAAAAATGTGATCACTCAATCTACGACTGTTTGTAGGACACTGTTGTGTTATCCCAGCCCTGCCCCATGCTCGGGTCCTGACCCCTGACTTACCAGCGCCTTGGGACGTTCTCCCTACGTGAAAGGTGCTCTATAAATGTAATTTTATTGTTGTGTGCAATTGGCTGCCGTGTTTCACCCACTAAATATACAATTAACTTTACAGTATATTCTGTGAAACACATTGAGACGTCTCAAAGACATGATAAGGCTCTGTATCAAATGAGAATTATTATTTTTATAATTACTTTCTACAGATTTGCGAAGAAACACGCGGAGCCAGTTCCCAACGACAGCAAAGACAACATTACCATCTACACCCGCATCTTGGACCGGCTGCTGGATGGGTACGACAACCGACTCCGGCCCGGCCTGGGAGGTGAGAAACCCTCCCTAACCCACAATGCCCGCCGGGCACACGCACCCCGCCGGGCACACGCACCCCGCCGGGCACACGCACCCCGCCGGGCACACGCACCCCGCCGGGCACACGCACCCCGCCGGGCACACGCACCCCGCCGGGCACACGCACCCCGCCGGGCACACGCACCCCGCCGGGCACACGCACCCCGCCGGGCACACGCACCCCGCCGGGCACACGCACCCCGCCGGGCACACGCACCCCGCCGGGCACACGCACCCCGCCGGGCACACGCACCCCGCCGGGCACACGCACCCCGCCGGGCACACGCACCCCGCCGGGCACACGCACCCCGCCGGGCACACGCACCCCGCCGGGCACACGCACCCCGCCGGGCACACGCACCCCGCCGGGCACACGCACCCCGCCGGGCACACGCACCCCGCCGGGCACACGCACCCCGCCGGGCACACGCACCCCGCCGGGCACACGCACCCCGCCGGGCACACGCACCCCGCCGGGCACACGCACCCCGCCGGGCACACGCACCCCGCCGGGCACACGCACCCCGCCGGGCACACGCACCCCGCCGGGCACACGCACCCCGCCGGGCACACGCACCCCGCCGGGCACACGCACCCCGCCGGGCACACGCACCCCGCCGGGCACACGCACCCCGCCGGGCACACGCACCCCGCCGGGCACACGCACCCCGCCGGGCACACGCACCCCGCCGGGCACACGCACCCCGCCGGGCACACGCACCCCGCCGGCACACGCACCCCGCCGGCACACGCACCCCGCCGGGCACACGCACCCCGCCGGGCACACGCACCCCGCCGGGCACACGCACCCCGCCGGGCACACGCACCCCGCCGGGCACACGCACCCCGCCGGGCACACGCACCCCAGTGCAATGCTATGGATATGTTGTATTGACGGAGGTGCCAGATAAGGCCCCATCTGTCTCCTCAGGTGGGTATCTCAAAGTATTTACTGTAAAGTGTGGAAACTGTATTTTGTAGGTGAACACAGCATGAATTTTTGCACAGTAACATCCCACAAATAGCCATGGTGTGAGTGCCCAATATCATCCTGTGGATTGTCGGCAGGGCATTGTGATAGACTGCCCTGAAGGCCATGTCCATCTCAACAGGCACACAGGACCTCAGTTCAACATCTCTTCTGAAATAGCACCTCTGACAATGCATTAGCTTCAGCCCACAACTTTCTGACTCTGAGATTAAAGTGCTCCCGAGCTCGGCTGACACATGCTGGAGAGCTGATTTGGTGAGGCCCTAGAGAGGGTATAAGGATCTCTGCAAGGAAAGGGAGAGGGTCAGGGCTGCTTACTGACCTCTCCATGACACACAGATGGAAACAGGCAGAGTTGGCCGCACCTCGTTCCTCAGGTTTAAACATGATGTCTGACACTCAGTTCATGTCTATTTACAGAAAGTGTCACTGAGGTGAAGACGGACATTTATGTGACGAGTTTTGGGCCAGTGTCAGACACAGACATGGTAAGTGTGATGTGGCGAGGACATGATTTGCACCCCCACCCCCTACTCCCCAACAACAACATCCCCTGAGATTAGCACTGTGATACCATCTGAAATTAGTACAGCATTGCTGACCTGACTCACATGTGGCTATAATGGCAACATTTTAGTCACAAGCTCTCATTTTTGTGGAAAACACTCACGTATGCTCACACAATTCTCGGAAATGTACGTTTACATGTTTATTTTACAAACATCCACCATTCAGTGGGAAATGTTGCAGTTTCTCTTTATTTTTCTTTTGCGGGACCGGTTCCTGTGCTCTCTACAGAACGGGGTTGGTGGCTGCCCTGTTGGAGCTGCTGGGATGATTGACTGGGATGCTGCTGGTCTCGAGCGTTTATTCCAATTGGACCATGATTGACAACTCTGCTCTCCAAGCAATAACACTTATGGAAATAAGTTATACACCATGTTACACCGACGTTACATCCATGTTGCACACCATGAAACAAAAACCGAGAGAGCTGGAAAAATTCAGCAGGTCAGGCAGCATCTATGGAGAAAGGAAAGTGCGTCAACATGCTGACGAAGGGTCATGGATCCGAAACTTGACTCACTTTCCTTTCTCCATAGATGCTGCCTGACCTGCTGAGTTTTCTCAGCTCTCTTTTTATTTCAGATTTCCAGCCTCTGCAGTATTTTATGTTTTGTTCATGTCCAACACCATGTTACAACCATCGTAGCAGATATCCGATAAGCAGTCACCAAGGAAGTAAAGCACACACAATCAAAACACACTCGCACATGCTGCTTTTACCATTTTATTAACCAATCCACAAAAGGGTCAAAGTACACATGCTTACACGATATGACATCACCTCCAACAATGCTATAACTCACTTTTTATTAACTAATCAAAAATGCAATTTAGCCACATCTGGATTCCCAATTCACCACATGTGGCTCGTGGCTAATGTATTGGAAACCCTGATCTATAAAGTTTGATATTAACTGTGATACCTCTATATAGTCTGATATTAGCAGTGACGCCTCTACGTTATCTGATATTGTGGAGTCATGTAGTATATTAGTTAGAGCACTCGCCTCGCAAGTGAGATGTCCCAGGGAGTGAGAGATTGCCCACTCTGTCTCTCCCCAGGAGTACACAGTGGACGTGTTTTTTCGGCAGAGCTGGAAGGATGAGCGACTGCGATTTAAGGGGCCGATGAGGATTTTACCGTTGAATAACCTGCTGGCCAGTAAGATCTGGACCCCAGACACATTTTTTCACAACGGCAAAAAATCAGTGGCTCATAACATGACCACTCCCAACAAACTACTGCGCCTGGTGGACAACGGGACGTTACTGTATACCATGAGGTGAGCATTACTCTATACCTGAGTGGTCCAACTGGTAGCCCTTGGGCCAATTTCATCCCACATGATCCTCTCCCTCCATTTCATCTGGCCCACTTGCTCCCTCCATAACCCATAGATGTTCTGTTACATTTCTGGAAGGGACACACAAAAATCATAGAATCGTAGAATATTGCAGCAGAGAAGGAGAACATTTGGCCCATCGTGCCTGGGCTGGCATTTTGGAAGAGCTGCCTAATCAGTCTGACTCCCCCACTCTTTCCCCGTACCCCTGGATTGTTTTCCTTTTCAAGAACCTATCTAATTCCGTTTTGAAATTGAATCTGTTTCCACCACCCTTTCAGGCAGTGCATTCCAGACCGTAACAACTCTCTGTGTGTGTGTGTGTGTGTGTGTAAAAAAAAATGCCAATTATCTTAAACCTATGTGCCCTGGTTACTGACCCACTGCCAGTGGAAACAGTTTCTCCATATCTACTCTATCAATACCCTCATAATTTTGAACACCTCTATTAAATCTCCCCTTAACCTTCTCTGCTCTAAAGAGAACAATCCCAGCTTCTCTAGTGTCTCCACGGATATTTCTCAAATAGGGCATCCAGCCCTCAGCCGCCAAAAGGTTGCCCCCCTCCCCCCACCCCCTGGTCTACATCATGAGGGGAGACACCACTTCCCCTTCCCCTTCCCCCCCACGCCCTCTGCCCCTATCCCCCTCCTCCTCTGTCCCTCCCTCACATCTGGCTGACCAAACCAAATAGAGCCTTTCACCTTGATAGGATGTCTCAAAGTGATCACAGGTAGACCGTAAAGTGTAGTGACTGTGAATTAGTAGGTGAATGTGCCATAAACAGCCAATGAAATGAACAGCCAATGACCAGCACCATAGACCCCCAGCCCCATCTACAAACCCCTCTGCCCCACCAACAGACCCCTGCCCTGCCCACAGCCCCCATATAACAGACCCCCATTCCCTGCAATACCAATCCTAAGTCCTTGAGCACAGCCCCTCCCCCTACCTCCCTCATCCCTCTCAAAACTAGGGTTATGGTTACCTCACACCGTACCCGCATCACTCCAGACCTTGCCTGGCTCCACAGGCTCCCTCCTCCAGAACGGATTGATTTCTAGATCCTCACAATCATGTACAAATTACTTCATGCTCTGGCACCTCCCAACCTCTCTGACCTATTCACACCCCACTCCTCTACTCGCTCCCTTTGCTCTGCTCCAGCCTCATGCACATCCCTCATCTTCTTCACTCCACCATCGGTGGCCGTGTGTCCAGCCGCTACACTCTGGAATTCTCTGCCTCATTCCCTCTGGCTTGCTCCCTTTTTGTCCATCTTCCTCTTCGACTGTGTCACCTCCCTTCTCCCCCCGGTTCGGCGTTAGACTTTTGTTAAAAGTTCCAAGACACTAATCTGCATGAAGGCGCTGTACAGATGCAAGTTGTTATTGTTGTTGATTGTGTTTGGCAAAGTGCTGTTGTCAGTTATGTTTTAATGAGAGAGACAGTGCATCCCAGGGGCACCCACAAATTGTGCATTAACACAGTTCACAGTACACAACAAATTGCATTTATACAGTGCCTTTCATGTTAGGAGGACATCCCAAGGTGTTGGACCTGAGGGGAAAGGCAGTGGTGGAGGTGGGTAACAACAACAAAATTACATTTGTATAGTGCCTTTCACTTTGGGAGGACGTCACAAGGTGCTGGACAGTCAGAGTTTTGGACCCGAGCTGAGGGTTGAGATTGGGGAGGGTGGAGGGTAAGGGGGTTAGCAGGGAGATTGAAAGCACAGTCGAAGAGGAGGGTCTTGAGATGGGTCTTGAAGGAGGCAAGGGAGAGGGCGAGGTGAAGGGATTGCAAGATGGAGTTCCTGAGGATGGGGGCAGAGTGACAGAAGGCCCACCCACCAATAGGTGGGCGAGAGAGGTGGGGGACTTGTCAATGTTGTGAAGTTAGGGGAAGTGGGGTTTAAAGGATAGTTGAAGGTTGAATAAATCAGCGAGTGGAGTGAGGTGGAATGTGCATCGCTCCCTCCACCCTGGTGAACATCCTCCCAAGGCAGCGGCAGGAGCCACCGGTTGAGAGGACGCAGTGCGTAGACTACAGTCTGTCAGGAAGGAAAGTGCGTCTCTTACCAACCGCGTCCTTAGCAACCAAGCGTTAGCTCCTGTAGAGAGTGACCTGCACTTGGGAGAGAATTGGGAGAGGGATTGAGATGAGGGAAGAAGGGAGAGAGTGTGAGGAGAGGAGGGAGAGAGGCGGGGAGCAGAGGTAGAAGTAGTGTGGAGTCCTGTAGCTCAGTGGTTAGAGCACTCGCTTTGCAAGTGAGAGACCTGAGTTCAATTCCAGGCAAAGGGCGAAACCTTGGGCAAGTTTCCTTACTCCACACAGAGCCTAATAATAATCCCTCAAAAACAAAACAATAATAAATTGGTCATTTTCAATCTACGACTGTTTGTGGGACATTGCTGTGTGCAATTGGCTGCCGCGTTCCCCCACAAATATACAGTCAATTCACTTTACAGTGTGTTCTGTGAAGCGCTTTGGGACGTCCTCCCGACGTGAAAAGCGCTATATCAAATGCAAGGATTATTGTTATTAGAAAGGAGGGAGAGAGAAAGAGGGGGAAAGGAGGGAACGGAGAGGGGGAGAGAGGATGGGAGAGGGAGAGAGAAAGAGGGGGAAGGGGGGGAGCACATACTCTCCTCTTCTCTCTCGCGCACTCTCTCACACACACTCACTCTCAAATATTCTCTCTCTCACCTTCTTACACCTTCTCGTACTCTTTCCTCTCACACTCCACCTCCATTCTCTCAATCACTCTCCTCTCTCTCACCCTCTCCTCTCTCTCACCCATATGCACACTCTATCCCCTCTCAAATCTCTCTCACTCGCCCTCTCTCAATCACCCTCTCTCAATCTCCCCCTTTTCTTTCTCTCTCCCTCTCCCTCACATTCATTCATTCCCACCTTCCCTGTCTCTCCCCCCTGTCTCTCCCCCCTCCTCTCTATCCCCCCTGTTCTCCCTCCCTCCTCCACTTCCACTCACTCCCCCTCCTCTCCCTCCCCCTCATCCCTCTCTCACCTCTCTTCCCCCCGTCTTAATCCCTCTCTCTCTCAATATCTCTCTCCCAAACGCAGTTCCTTATCTGCAGGGCAGGAGTCGTAAAGGCTCTGCCCGCTGTGTCCTCTGAAGCGGGGCTCCTGCTGCTGCCCCGGGAGGACACCAGGGGGGGAGCGAAAGTTGGAATGTTGGAAATGATTGAGGGCCACATAAACTCAGCAGTGGGGTCGCTGTGGGACCTGATTGTTGGGATTTCCGATCCCGAGGTTCGAATAATGACCTGACAATCCAATTAAGGTGTAATAAAGATTTATTAATCAAAGTAACACATACAAAACTAGTAAAATAATACTGCCACTACAAGTAACAGAACTTAGACTATGAGTTTTGGAGCAGTCAGTCAGTCAGTCGGTTGCGATGGTTTCAGCACAGCTTCTCGCCGTTGGTTCGGCTGCCCTCTTTGTCCGGCTGGATCTGCTGCCTTACTTGCCTAAAGTCAGGATAGTTATACTTTTTCCCTGAGTGATCTTGCCCCCTTCTGCTCCAATCAGGCATCTTAGCACATACCCAATGTACTCGACTCTTGCATATCCTTGTACCCATATCTTCTAGATACGCAGACCCTTTGAGATGAAGCAGCTTGCTCACTATTCTTCAACACAGGACATCTTGCTTCTCCCTTCCAAGGCCAGAGCCTGTCTCTGTCACTTTTATGTCTTCCCTTTCCATCACAACTGACTGGCCATTGACCTTTTAGAACAGGATGGCTTATTCTGCAAATTCTTAAAATGTTAGGAAAACAGTTTCTAATTATGACTAACGGTTTCTTTCTCCCGCTACGTCATGCAAACATGGGTATTGATATACATATATATATTCACTATTAATTCTTTTATACTATTCTTACAAACTATATTAAAATCAACCTTTTCTAACATGATGTACATTAATGCTGTCAGTGCCTGAGGTGAGGAGGTGTTGATGGGAACCAATCAGGAGGGCGTTGGATTTCTTGACATTCAACTGGAGAAAGTTAGCTCTTGGTGAGGAGTAGGCAATCGGTAAGAATAGCAGTGGACCTGGTGTTGTGGGTGGAACCAGAGAGATAGAGTTGGGTGACATCAGCAAACACCTGGAAGTAACTCCATGTCTGTGCATGATATCACTGAGCAGCAAGCATGTCGATATTAAGGAGGAGAGGGCTAAGGACAGAGCTCTGAGGAACTCCATACGTGATGGTGGGGGCAGGAGAAGCTGTTGACAGATATGAAGTGGAGGTGATGGGAAAGGAAAGAGTGAAACCAGGCAAGGACAAAATCATGAAGGTGGAACTAAGAAGGGAGGCTGTGAAATGGTTGAATGGTGTCGAAGGCAGCAGAGAGATGGAGGAGAACAAGGAGACAGAGAGCAAAACACAAAATACTGCAGATGCTGGAAATCTGAAACAAAAACAGAGAGAGCTGGGAGAACTCAGCAGGTCAGGCAGCATCTATGGAGAAAGGAAAGTGAGTCAACGTTTTGGGTCCAGGACCCTTTATCAGAACTGTTTTTGTTTAAGGAGACAGAGAGCTCTGGTCACTAATGGAGAGAATGTCATTGGTTACTTGACTGGAGCTGTCTCTGTACAGTGGGCATGGAGTGCCAGTGAAGGGGGTGGGGGAGCCAGTGGACAGAGAGAGGTTGTCCATTAGCATGGGGGGAGGGGCAAGAAGGTGGAGCTGGAAGGTCACGGAAAAGGGATGGGAATGGGATTCAGGGAGCTCAAGGTGTCACGTTTTCCTTCAGGGCTTTGTTAGAGAGCAGACATTTTGCAGGACATGCAGAGGGAACAGGGTGAGGGGGAGCCTTGCCAGGCGGGGGCTGAGGGCTGGGGAGAGGGCTGGGATTGGGGGCAGGGTCTAGGGCTGGGGCGGACGCTGGGATTGTGGCAGGCTAGGGTGGGGGCTGGACTCTGGGGTTGGGGGAGGGGGTTGGGATGGGGGCTGGGGGAAGAGGCTGGGGTGGTGGCAGGGGCTGGGTGGAGGCTGGGCTGGGACGGGGGCTGTCTCGTCCCCTTCCCTCCGAAGGTCTTACACGTTCGATGTTGAACAACAGATGTAATAAAACTTTGATTGCAATACTCTACGTTTCAAAATACAACGATGATCAGTTTTCCCCAAATTGTAAGGGGGAGCTTCAGGATTCTCTGACTTCTGCTTCCAATGATTGCTAGAAACTTTTTTAGATACTATTTTTGTCCATTTCAGAAGTCTGAAAACAGAATGATCTCATCCCTAATCTAGAGTTGCTCCTGTAAGTCACTGGTTATTACAACACTGAGTTAACGAGCATTTTGAGTATCCATCAATATTATCAGGACAGCTTTATCTTTCATAAATCTCAGCTTTATCTCTGTTGGTCAAGGACACCTTACTATATCTTAGTAATTGGCATCAACTTTGTCTCTATACCTTTAACTAATTGGGTACTGAAACTAAATCTTACTCATCGGATACCAGCGGAGGTCTTCCTGGGTCTTGTCTGTATGTAATACGCATTCCTTTGGCAACACCTAACAAATATGTATAAGCTTACAGATTGCAGTTGGTCAGTAATTAGTGACCGCTCTGCTTTACTGTGGTTAACTGTTGAGGTGCCAACATAACTGGCTGGGGGGCTGGGGGTTAGGGGCTGGGGGGGTTAGAGCCTGGGGGGTTAGGGGGCTGGGGGTTAGAGCCTGGGGCTGGGGATTTAGAGGGTCTGGGGAGGGTAGGAGGCTGGGGGGTTAGGGGGCTGGGGTGGTTAGAGCCTGGAAACGGTTAGGGGTTTAGAGCCTGGGGGTTAGGGGGCTGGGGGGTTAGAGCCTGGGGGGTTAGGGGGCTGGGGGAGTTAGGGGGCTGGGGGGGTTAGGGGGCTGGGGGGTTAGAGCCTGGGGGGGTTAGAGGGCTGGGGGGTTAGAGCCTGGGGGGTTAGAGCCTGGGGTGTGGGGGTTTAGAGCCTGGGGGGCTGGGGGGTTAGAGCCTGGGGGGGGTTAGGGGCTGGGGGGTTAGAGCCTGGAGGGGTTAGGGGCTGGGGGGGTTAGGGGGCTGGGGGTTTAGAGCCTGGGGGGTTAGGGGGCTGGGGGGGTTAGGGGGCTGGGGGTTCAAAAGCCTGGGTGGTTAGGGGGCTGGGGGGATTAGGGGGCTGGGGGTTTAGAGCCTGGGGGCTGGGGAGGTTAGAGCCTGGGGGGTTAGAGCCTGGGGTGTGGGGTTTAGAGCCTGGGGGTTAGAGCCTGGGGTGTGGGGTTTAGAGCCTGAGGGTTAGGGGCTGGGGGTTCGAAAGCCTGGGTGGTTAGGGGGCTGGGGGGTTAGGGGGCTGGGGGGGATAGGGGGCTGGGGGGTTAGAGCCTGGGGGGGTTAGGGGGCTGGGGAGGTTAGGGGGCTGGGGATTCGAAAGCCTAGGTGGTTAGGGGGCCGGGGGGGTTAGGGGGCTGTGGGGGTTGGGGGCTGGGGGGTTAGAGCCTGGGGGGCTAGGGGCTGGGGGGGCTAGGGGGTTAGGGGGGCTGGGGGATTAGGGGCTGGGGTGCTAGGGGAGTTAGGGGGCTGGGGGGCTAGGGGCTGAGGGGTTAGGGGGCTAGGGGGCTGAGGGGTTAGGGGGCTGGGGGGGTTAGGGGCTGAGGGGGTTAGGGGGCTGGGGGGTTAGGGGGCTTAGGGGGCGAGGGGGTTAGGGGGATGGGGGGGCTAGGGGGTTAGGGGGCTGTGGGGTTAGGGGGCTAGGGGGCGAGGGGGGTTAGGGGGATGGGGGGCTAGGGGGGTTAGGGGGGCTGTGGGGGTTAGGGGGCTGGGAAAGCATTGCCACACTGGGGGCTGGGTCAGGGCCTGGGGGCTGGGGGAGGGGGCTGGAGGGGGTGGGGGCTGGAGGGGGGTGGGGGGTGGGGGCTGGGGTGGGGTGGGGGGTCTCTGGTTGCTCTGGGGGGGGAGGAGATGTGAGTGGGAGTAACGGGAGATGAAGGTCGGAGGTGTGAGAGAGAGTCTCCTCACGGATTCCGTGTCTCTCAGACTCACCATCAACGCGGAGTGTCCGATGCACCTCGAGGACTTCCCGATGGACGCACACGCCTGTCCACTTAAGTTCGGCAGCTGTAAGTTACTGTGTCACAACATCACCTCCAGCCCTCACACACACACACCCTCACACAGCCCCTCACACACACCCTCACACACACCCTCACTGAGCCCAGCCCTCACAGACATGTTCACACACACCCTCACACAGCCCCTCACACACACCCTCACGCACACCTTCAAACACACCCTCACACAGCCCCTCACACACACCCTCACACACACCCTCACACAGCCCAGCCCTCACACACACCCACCCTCACACACACCCTCACACAGCCCAGCCCTCACACACACCCTCACTCACACCCTCACACAGCCCAGCCCTCACACACCCCCTCACACAGCCGCTCACATACACCCTCACACAGCCCCTCACACAGCCCAGCCCTCACACACCCCCTCACACAGCCCCTCACACAGCCCAGCCCTCACACAGCCCCTCACACAGCCCCTCACACAGCCCCTCACACAGCCCAGCCCTCACACACACCCTCACACACACATGGACAATCTCTCACACACACAGACACCCTCTCACACACACACACACACACAGATGGACACCCTCACACACACACACACACACGGACACCCTCTCACACACACACACACAGACACCCTCGCACATACACGGATACCCTCACACACATAGACAGACACCCGGTCACACGCACATAGACGGACACTCTCTCACACACGCACACACACACACAGACGGACACCCTCACACACACGGACACCCTCACGCATGCAGGCACGCAGATACCCTCACACACACACACACACGGACACCCACACACACACACGCGGACACCCTCCCTCACACACACGGACACCCACACACACACACACGGACACCCACACACACACACACACACACGCGGACACCCTCCCTCACACACACGGACACCCACACACACACACACGCGGACACCCTCCCTCACACACACGGACACCCACACACACACACACACGGACACCCTCGCGCATGCAGGCACGCAGATACCCTCACACATACACGCGGATACCCTCTCACATACACACACCCTCTCACACCTCTCATACAACTCCACTCACACAGACAGTGGTATTTCTCCCCATTTTGAACTTTTGAATACAGTTTAGCATCACAGTAGAACAAGAGAACACAGGTTTATTGGGTAAAAGACAATTTGACAGTGCTGTGATGGGGAGAGATGCTGTGATGCTGTGATGTGGGAGGAGATGGGATGTTCTTGAGATGATGAGATCAGATGGGCCAAAGGGCCCTCTTCACCCAAACCAATCTTGTGGTCAGAGCAGAGTGTAGCCAAGCCTGGCTGTGTTGGATGTTACTCTACCTGTGGTTGGTTACAGACGCCTACACCAACACTGAAGTGATGTACATCTGGACTCACGGACAGAGCAATTCCGTGGTGGTGGCGGAGGATGGCTCTCGCCTGAACCAGTACGATTTACTGGGACAGACGGTCGGCACCGAGATCATCCGATCGAGTACAGGTCAGTGAGCTCCTCAGCGCTGGCTTCTCATTCCTGGCAGATAAAGGACAAACAATTCTCACCATGAGAGAACTACATTATCATAGCCACTGAGCACATCAAACACCTCAGCCTTCCCTCCATACCACCACCACCTGCCCCCGCCATTCCCTCTCCCCTTGGCTGCCAACACCCTCATGTCACGTCCAAGCTTCACTCCAGGCCAACGGTTTGCTCCCGCTCTTCCAAACACAAGCTGAGCTTGTACTCTCTGTAGGCCTCTCATCCCATCCTCCCCCTCAGATGAGATGTTAAACCAAGGCTTCATCTGTGCCTGTGCTGGTGGATGTTAAAGATCCTGCTCCACTATTTGAAAAGCGAAGTGATTGTTGTCCTGGCCAACAATCCCCCAAATAAAACCCTTCACTCAATCCAGGGTTGTTTGTGGGACATTGCTGTGTGTAAATTGGCTGCTCTGTTGACCACAGAACACAGTCACTACAGTTGATCCCAGACACACCCTCCTGACGTAAAAGGCACAAAACTGGATTTAAGATTGTGTGTTCTCACGGGCTCCTCCCCTGCCATCGCCTCACCCCATGGTCCCACCCACCTAACTCCTGACCTGTGTGACCTCAGGGGCGTCGCTGGGGGAGGCTCTAAACCCTACCTTTGCTGCTAACAGGTGAATACATCGTCATGACGACACACTTCCACCTGAAGAGGAAGATCGGTTACTTTGTGATCCAGACCTACCTGCCGTGTATCATGACCGTCATCCTGTCCCAGGTCTCCTTCTGGCTCAACCGCGAGTCCGTCCCGGCTCGCACCGTCTTTGGTCAGTCTGAGATCGGACACTTCCCCCATCACACTCCCTCCTCCTGCTCCCCCTCCCGCTCCCCCACCTCCCGCTCCCCTTCTCGCGCTCCCTCCTCCCGCTCCCCCCCTCCCGCTCCTCCCTTTGCACTCCTCCCCTCCCAAACACCCCCCTCCCACACCCCGCTCCCACACCCCTCTCCCATCCCACACCCCTCTCCCATCCCACTCCCCCCCCAATCCCACTCCCCCCATTCCAATCCCCCCAAGATTGCAGATGACACAAACATAGGCAGTATAGCTACCAGTGAAGAAGATTGTAAGGGGACATTGATAGATTTGCTGACTGGATAGAGAAATGGCAAATGAAATTTAATGCAGACAAATGTGAGTTGTACACTTTGAATGGAGAAATAAGGAGAACGAGTATATATTAGATGATAAATGTTAGCTACAGGAGTCCTGTAGCTCAGTGGTTAGAGCACTCAATTTGCAAACGAGAGACATGGGTTCGATTCCCAGCAGGGCAAAACATTGTGTGTGTGTTTTACAGATCTATTACAGGGCACACTCACGCAATCACACAATGACACTCACACACATTCACACAATCATTCACACACTCACAATCATACATGCACACAATCACACTTTCATACCCTCATAGAATTACACTCACATATGCGCGCACACACATTCCTCCGATACTGTGGCATTGGCTGCATTCTCTTTTGTGAAGATAGATGTACTCATTCAAGTTCATCAGCCATGCCCTCTGCCTCCACAAGAAGATTTATTCTTTGGTTCCTAATTGGTCCTATCCTACCTAACCTTTTATTATTGATATGCATATAAAATACCTTAGGGTTCCTTTTTATGTAACCTGCTAATCTTTTCTCATACAATATGCAAAGGGCCCCTCTTATTTCCTTTTTCAGTTCTCCTCTGTACATACTATATTCTATTTGATTATTTTCTGTATTTTGGTGACATTTATCATAAGCCTCTTTTTCTGTTTTATTTTAATCCAGGGAAGTTTGGATGCCAATCCTTTCCCCTTTGTGGGAATGTATTTGTTCTGTCTCTGAACTATTTTCTCCTTGAAGGCTTCCAATTGCTCGTTAGCTTTTTTACCAAACAGTGTGAGACACTGCTGTGTGCATTTGGCTGCCGTATTTTGCCCACAAAATATACGGTCAATTTACTTTGCAGTATATTCTGTGAAGCGCTTTGAGACATCTCAATGACATGATAAGGCACTATATCAAATGCAAGAATAACTATTACTTTTACCTGCCCATCTTTCCTTCCAGTCCACCTTGGCTAGGGTCCCTTTTTATCTCACTGAAATTAATCCTCTTCCAGTTGAGTATCTTCACCTTTGATTGCTCCTTGTCCCTTTCCATAAGTACTCTAAACCTAATGATGTTGTGATCACTGTTGTCCTGATGCTCTCCTACTGACACCTGCTCCACCTGCCCCACTTCATTCCCCAGAACTAGATCCAGCGCTGCTTCCTTCTTCATTGGGCTGGAAACATACGCAAACAGTTATCCTGCTCACATTTGAGGAATCCTTTCCCCTCCTTGCCCTTTACACTGTTATTTGCCAGCCTATGTTAGGATAATTGAAGTCCCGCATTATCACTACTCTATTGGTTTTGCATCTTTCCGAAATCTGTGCAGATTTAATCGTCTATCTCCTTTCCACTATTTGGTAGTCTATAGTATACACCTAGCAATATTGTCCCCCTCCCATCTTTTTTTTCTTCCCTATCCCTCCTGAATACATTGTAGCCAGGAATATTCAGTGCCACACACTGTCCCCTCTTCCTATCAAGCCATGTGGTCACCCAGTCACACGCCTCCTTTGAGCCAGATCTCCGTTATTGCCATTACATCATAACCCCATGTGGCAACTTGAGCCGCAGCTCACCAATCTTTGTCACACTGTGCATTTATGCACATGCACTCCAATACCAACTTAGTCTGGTCTGTATTTCTATCCATCTAATCCCTCCGTTTTCTGGATTACTGCTTATTACATAGCTATTTGTCTCTCCTAAGTAACTCATTAGTCCTCTGTAATGCTACATCCTGATTCTCTTCCCCCTTCAAAATTAATTTAAACGCTTCCCCACAGAACTAGATAACGTCCCTGAGAGGACATTGGTCCCAGCCCTGTTCAGGTGTAACCCATCCAACTTGTACAGGTCCCACTTTCCCGAGAACTGGTCCCAATGATTCAGGAACCTGAAGCCCTCCTTTCTGCACTGTTTCTCCATCCATGCATTCATGTGTTAGATCCAGCTGCTTTCATACTCACTTGCACGAGGCACTGGGAGTAATCCAGAGATCACCACCTTCGAGGTTCTACTCTTCAGCTTTTTCCCCTAGCTTCTGATACTCTCCCTGTAGGATCTCGGCCCTTTTTTTCCCTACATCATGAATCCCAACATGAACCATGACTTCTGGATGTTCTCCTTCACCCTGTAGAACGTTTTGCACCCATTCAGTGATGTCTTCAACTCTGGCACGAGGGAGGCAACATACCATGTGAGAGTCACGACTTTGGTTTCGGAACCGTCTGTCTACTCCTTTCACCATTGTGTCCCCAATGACAATTGCATTGACAATCTTCCCTGTGTCCCCGTGTGCATCCATTCATTTTTAACTCGCCTCCCCAGAATTGTCATCACTCTGAGGAGTATTCAGTATGGAGAATCGGTTTGTGAGTGCCACACACTGTACGTCCCCTCTTCCTATCATGCCTTGTGGTCAGCCAGTCACACTCCTCAACCCTCTGTGGCTTTGGGGTGACCACATCCTGAAATGATCGACCTATGAACACTTCAGCCTCTCTTCGAGCTCAGAAACCCTAAGTTCAAGCTCGAGCAGCCGGAGGAACTTCCTATACATCTGTTTGTTGAGAGCACACAAACGTTTGGAGTTCCTGGAGTTCCCAAGTGGCACACATTTTGCATGCAACCGGTCTCAGCTGCCCTGCCATATTCCCAGACATGTTTTATATTGTTTTAATTGTATATTTTATAATTATGCACCTCTTTCCCCCTCTGCACTGAAATCCCACTCTCACCAAATTCTTAATAGGATTATCATTTTGTTCCACGTCATGCTGCTGGGCTCTCTGCTCAAGTGTTGTTGGGGTGATAGTGGGAGAGAGTGTTGTTTGGGTGAGAGTGGGAGAGTGTGTTATTGAGGAAACAGTGGGAGAGAATTTGTTGTTGGATAAAAGTGGGAGTCTTCTGGGGGTGACAGTGGGAGAGAATGTTGTTGGGGTGACAGTGGAAGAGAGTGTATTTGGGGTGATAGAGTGAGAGAGTGTGTTTTGGGGTGAAAGTGGGAGAAAGTGTTGTTGGGGTGGCTGGGGATGAGGGAGTTATTGGGGTGTCAGTGAGAGAGAGTGTTGTTCAGGTGATAGTGGGTGTTCTGGGATGACAATAGGAGACAGTTTGTTGCAGTGTGGGAGTGAGTGTTGTTTGAGTGGCAGTGGGAGAGAGTGTTATGATAGTGGGAAAGATTGTTGGTGGGGTGACAGTGAGAGGTGTGTTGGGTTGACAGTGGGAGTGTTGTTGGGGTGACAGTGGGATAATATGTTGGGTTGTGTTGGGGTGATAGTGGGAGAGTGTGTTGGTGAGTTGATAGTGGGAGGAAGTGTGTTGGAGTGACATTGGGGGAGAGTGTTGTTGAGGGGACAGTGGGAGACAGTTTATTCTTGGGTGACACTGGGAGAGTTTGTTGGTGTCACAGTGGGAGGGTGTGTTGGGGTGACAGTGGGAGAGAGTTTGTTGTTGGGATGGCAGTGGAAAAGTGTGTTGGTGTCACAGTGGGAGTGTGTGTTGGGGTAACAGTGGCAAATTGTTGTCACCCTACTCGCTGATATTGTATACCTCTCCCTTTCCTCTGGTACTGTTCCCACCCCATTAAAAACTGCTGTCATCATCAATGGTAGAGAGTGTTGTTGGAATGACAGTGGAAAAGTTTGGTGGGACAGTGAGAGAGAGTGTGTTGGGGTGTCATTGGGTGAGTGTTGTTTGGGTGACAGGGGGTGAGTGTTGTTGTGGTGACAGAGGGCGAGTGTGTTGGGGGACTGTGGGAGAGTTTATTTTGGGCGATAGTGGGAAAGTGTGTTGGTGACAGTTGGAGATTGCTGTTGTGATGAAATTGAGAGAGTGTTGTTGGGGTGACAGTGGTAAAGAATGTGTTGGAGTGGCCATGGGAGAGTGTTGTTGGGGTGTCAGTGGCAGAGACTGTTGTTGGAGTGACAGTGGGATAGTGTTTTGCGGTGACATTGGTGGAGTTTGTTGGGGTGACATTGGCAGGAGAGTGTTTTTGGGGTGACAAATGTAGAGAATGTTTTAGTTGGGGTGGTAGTGGGAGAGTGTTGTTGGGGTGACAGTGAGAGACACTGTTTTTGGAGTGTCAGTAGGAGAATGTGTTGCGGTGACATTGGGGTATAGTGTTTTGGGGGTTACAGTGGCAGAATGTTGGGTGACATTGTGAGAGATTGTTTGGATGATAGTGGTAGAGAATGTCTTGTTGTGGGGGCAGCAGGCAAGTTTTGGGGTGACAGTGGGAGAGAGAGTATTGTTGGGGTGTCAGTGGGAGAGACTGTTGTTGGTGTGACAGTGGGAGAGAGAATGTTGTTGAGGTGACAATGGGAGAGAGTGTATTTTTGGAGTGGCAGTGGGAGAAAGTTTGCTGTTTGGGTGACAGTGGGAGAGAAATTGTTGTTGGGGTGGCAGTGAGAGAGAGTGTTTTTGGGGTGACAGTGGGAGAGTGAATACGGGTGATAGTGGGAGAGAGTGTTGTTGGAGTGATAGTGGGAGAGTATGCTGATGTGACAGTGAAAAAGAGTGTTTGGGTGACAGTGGGAAAGAATATGTTTTTGGGGTGGCAGTGGGACAGAGTGTTGTTGAGGTGACAGATGGTGAGTATTGTGTTGTGGTGACAGATGGTGAGTGTTGTTGGGATGACAGTGGTAGAGAATGTCTTGTTGGGG